GTGTGGGGGAAAGTAATGCTGAAATAGTTATTTAACAGCTGTATTTGAGCGATGTGGTACCTTATTAGAGACAACTAGTTTGAAACACTGGTAAATTCTTATGTGTTCATTCCAACTATAGTAAGTAATTTTTTAAGTACTTGAGCTTTCACTTCCTGCCTGTCATGTATACAATGTAATGGAGCTGTTGAGATGTCACTTAAGGTTTCTGAAACAGATTTTTATTCTTAACATGATTTTTCTTTTGATTTTGGATGAAGTACAATGCGAGGCTATATTTTTACTTTAAATTTGAAAATGCATTTTTTCAAATTCACAGAAGCAATATGAAACGTATTTAAACCAGTGTTCACATGTGGCACTAAGTTGTGATACTTGTTTCACAATCTACCTACTGAACTGATCTCCACACAGTATACAAGCAAAAAAAGTGTACTAAAAAGCACATATTTGTAGTTTTGCCACAGGATTGGTGGTCTTCCATCTTTGTAAATTTTCACTAAACTTCTGCTTCATTTTTGAGATTGTCAGACTGCTTGGTTTTTTAAAGAGGTGGTCATTTTTGTGCAGTTGGAGCAGAAAAAAAGAAATTGCAAGTCTGACTAGGTCTCTCCCTTGATTTGCTACCAGGGTTCTTCTGGAATTTTTTTTGGTTTGGTGCTTGGTGCTTTTTGGGGGTTTGGGGGTTTGGTTTTGGTTTTTTGGTTGGTTTGGGGGGGGGTTGGGGGTTTTTGGTTTTGCACTGTAAATATTGTTTACAGGATGTACTGAAGGAATATTATGAATATTGTTCATCCCTTGGTAGGGAAGCTGCCCGTACCACTCATTAATAGGATCATTTGGATAATCACCATTTCCCTTCCTAGGGTACAGTGTAAGGAAAAAAGCAAACATTACTGTCAAGGTGAAATATACAGGAGAGGAGTCCTTTAAATTTTTCATCAACTCTTAGAACAGATGTTTAATGGTTATTTTTTTTTTCTCTTGGTTATAGACTAAACATTATAAATGGTTATTTTCCATCAATTACTTAGAATCGATAGCAGCTAGTAACCTCAGCATAATTCTTACCTGAATTTGTTGCTTGTAATGCTGAAATTGTTTTCTTATTTTGGTCATCCTTCTGGAGTAACGTGTATATAATAAGTCTTAATCCATGATGGATAAACACTTTTGAAATTAATGCTTCATAAGCTTTGATTTAGATGGGAGATGGCGGCAACCAGATTATGTATGTAGTTGACTTATATTTGTTTTATAACAAGCTTATGTTTAAATAAGTTTATTTAATAAGCTTATATCTTAAATGTATGAAAACAGTCATACAAGGTGGAACTGCAGTAAATATAAGGCTATGTTTTTTTTCTTCAGTGCCCTTATCAAGCAAGTAAACAAGTCTATAGATGGAACAGCTGATGATGAAGATGAGGGTGTACCTACTGACCAGGCAATCAGAGCAGGTCTTGAATTGCTTAAGGCAAGTATACTCCTGGTGGTCAGTGAGCATGTGAAAGTTTCTGAAGCAACTTTGTTAAAATAAATTTTTAATTAGCACTTAGCCACCACATGCTTATGACTAAAGATACTATGTGGAAGAAAACTGGCTTGGTTTTTGTTCTCTATGCTCATCTTATGTGGCATTGTTATCTTATAAATCATTTAGAACTTTTTCTGGAAGTCAAAAGTAGTTGCATGTGTGGCATCAGCAGCTGAGGTTTGATTATTAGAGTGTGAATTCAGTGGTGTTTGAATATAGTTGTATTACTTTTGGAACTGTACTTGTCTATCAGTACAATACTGTGGTTCCCCTGAGTTCTTCATAAATTGGGGTCTTATCTATTTCAACTATGTGTAATCTTTGAGACTCAGTTAACATAGCAAATCCCATCAAGATGCATTTCTGAGGATATTGTACAAAATTTATTTCTTTGTCCTCCCTTTTTCCTAGGAGGAAAAGGGCTGATCACTGTGTTATTTACAAGTACTGTTAAAAGTGTGAAACTTTTTAAATGCGACTACATAGGGCTTTTTGTTTCACTTAGTGCTTTTAGCCTAAAGTCTTTGACGGAGACTATGTAGTGTCAGCTTTGCCTGTACTTGCACAGAAAGGCAGTTGTGCCATAGTACCACCTCAGTTATGCGATAGTGTTGGGAGTAGTCCAACTGTGGGTTGACTTCAGAGGCCTCAAAATCTAAAGAACTCCAATGCAGAAGTTTTCAGAATATCTTAGATCAACTGAGGGCCTAGTAGATTCATTTGAGAACATGTGATTCTTTAGCCAGATGTGCATGTCTAGACAGAAGTGCAAAAAACCAGTAGCACAAAGATGAATCTGAGTAAGAATGACTCATGTCATGAAGGACTATATGTTTGAAAGAAGGCTCCCAGGTCAGTATTTACATATTCATATGAACTAGCATGACACATTTAAGGAAGAAGAGTAAGATTGTCCTGAAGAAAGTGGTCTTTACATCATGAGAAGAATCCAGAAAGGACAAATATAGGAGTCTAGAAAAGGCAATGCCATACAGTGAAGCGGGGAGGAAGGTAGCTTGGTGAAAGTGGAACTTCTTCACCTGCAGTTTTCTTAGATTTTGGACAGTTTCTTTGACATGGGTCAGAATATTACATGGAAAGAGGCTGATAATCAACAGCTACTTAAAAATGCAGAGAAGGCAAACTTTCAGAGAGGATCAAATGAGGATTTTGGGGTTTTTGTTTTATTTTTTTTTAAACATGGGAGGACTGTTGTACTTGAAGACAGAGTCCAAGAATCTGAAGGAGAGGTACAGGGTCTGGTAAGCTGCTGTGGAAAGCTTGAGGGACTAGAGACCCTATGGGGTATGTCTATATTACTATTTTAGAGTTAGGAACTTCAGAGCACAACCAGTTGTTCCACTTAGCAAACAAGCATGAAGTCTGCAAGCCCACAAGTGTTGCAGTGGCTAAAGTGCGTTCAGTCAGTCTAGAAATACACTGAAGTAAAGCCCCTGAAATGTGAATATTGTTTCCTTAGCATCAATTGTGTTTCTCTTAAGACCTGCTTCTGCTGTAACCCAGTACCTGTTAATGTATTTGTGGCCACTGAGAAGTACATGTTCACAGTAACAGGAGAAGAAATTGAGACTGCAGAAATAAGTTAAAACTGATGAGATCATGTATAAAGACAGAGATGTTTAGGAGGTACTGAAAAAAAAAAAAAGTCAGAAAAAGAGAAATGTGGATTACATGCAAAACCAGGCAGAGTATTATAAATATTCCAGTATGGCAGTGGAAAATTACTCTTGATGGAATGTTCTGTGTAAGTGGACCTTTAAAAAATATTAACACGGCTTTTATCTTATTTTGGCAGGTACTTTCATTTACGCACCCTATCTCATTTCATTCAGCTGAAACTTTCGAATCTCTCCTGGCTTGCCTGAAAATGGATGATGAAAAAGTAGCAGAAGCTGCATTACAAATTTTCAAAAATACAGGAAGTAAAATTGAAGAAGACTTTCCTCATATACGATCGTAAGTTGTATATCTTACTCTGTCTGAGTAGTGTTCTTTACTATATGAGATTTTGGAAGTTCTCATTCTTCCTTTTGCATGCTATAGCGTTTTCCTGCATTCTTTTGGAAGAACATATTACTTCAGGTAAAACAGGAAAGAGATTTGAATGACTTCTATAATTTTTATCATTGCCCTTCAAAATTACTTGTGTTTTTTCCTAAATTAAATATATGGCAATGTAAAAACATTCTTTGCAATTCAATGGGGATGTGTAGAAAAGAGTATTTCCAAAAGAGCATTTAGTAACTTGTGCAGATAAATATTTGTTTTGCCACATGGTATTTTATCAACAAAAAACAAGTTTTATCTTACTTGAAAGCCATGTAAGTAACCCGTATTTCTTTCTTTCTTTCTTTGAAGAAATTGCCAAAACCAGGAGAATTAGCACTTTTTCAGAGGTGGTGTGTTCTATATATCTATATCTGTACTTTTTTGCTAGCTTGATATTTTGGTAGATTTTCAATTTGTGAAAAGGTACTTACTTTTTTTTTTTTTTTTTAAAAAGTGCTTTGCTTCCAGTCTTGCATCATAAAGCTAAAAAGGGACCCCCTCGTCAAGCCAAGTATGCTATTCACTGCATCCATGCAATATTTTCCAGCAAAGAAACACAGTTTGCACAGATATTTGAGGTAAAATTAAAATATTTAAGTTACTTCTTACATTGCATGTGTAAACTAAGCGATGTAGTAGCAATTTATGCAGCAAGTTGTATCAAATTCAGGAAAGGTATTTTTTCCCCTTTCCCTTTGTTCTCATACAGTTTGGCCTGAAAAATGTTAGCGGAGGGTGTTTTTTAGTATCCCATGATCCATTGTGTTTAGGGTTATGTATTTTAAGAAGGTAGAGTAAAGTTAGTCTGTTAGAACCATGAACTAGAAGAACCATACACCACTTCTCACCCCTGTTGGGACTGGCCCAAAGTATTTAAATGGTTACAGAAATTATAGAAAACTGAATTATGGTAGAGACTATTCAAATAGATTTTATAGTTATAACTGCAAATCTCCTTCTTTTTAATTAGTGCCTTTTATCTTGAAGGCTGAATAATAGTCCATTTCTGAAATTGCCATCTTGAGATGAGTATGCCCTCTTCTTCAGCAAGAAAATATGCTTTTTAATCCATTGTTTCCCAAATAGTCCTGCTTGAGCTGCCACTTGCTGAACTACCCAGATGTGAGAAAGATTTTTGTCTTTTTGATTTGTAGGAGACTTGTAGGGTTGATGAATGTGTCTTTAAATCTAAATAGTCAATAGTTCTTTTAAAATTGTATTTCTGAAATAGAAATAGACATGGACAACTTGGTACAGAACTCTCACACCCTTCCCCACAATGAGACACAGATTACATCAGTAATACCTGAATTTGTTGCCTTTATTCTAGCCACTGCATAAAAGTCTGGATCCAAGCAATTTTGAGCATCTCATTACGCCGCTGGTTACTATTGGCCATATAGCCATGCTAGCACCTGATCAGTTTGCTGCCCCTTTGAAATCTTTGGTTGCCACTTTTATTGTTAAAGATTTGCTAATGAATGATAGGGTAAGTATTTTTAAAGCCTCGTATTAAGACTGCTTCTCTTGTAGTATGATACTACGCAAGTACTTGTGAAAATTTTTGGCTTGTTGGTGGTACTTTTTGCATATGGCTGTCTTTGGATTTCCATGTGTACTGTTTGACTCAATTGAAAACACAGTACAGGAAAGGAGATAGTACTAATTTCATAGTCCTTACAAAAGCTACAAGCTGTATAGCACAGCATTTGATCACTCATGACTTGCGTTTTGTTAAAAATGGGAAAATCGTTATTGACTTCACTCGCTTGTCTTCAGCAAGGAAGTTGTGGGGTTTTTGGTGTTTTGTTGTTTTTTGGTTTTTGCTTTTGTTTTTGGAAATATAAAGCATTTGAAACTAAAATACACTGTTTAAATGGAAGACTGAATTTTCATTTTTCTGATACTTCTATACTGATATTATAAAGTGAAAGAAGTAACTTGTGCATTGTCAGCCGTTGTTTAGGGAAAATTTATTGTCTAAAACTATGTGCTTGAGGTTCCAATCTACTGGATATGGGAAACTAGAAATTATTTTCAAAGCAATGGCTGTTACACTCTAAATCAATAGTTTTAAGGTAACAACAACAAACGCTCTCCCCCCCACCCCCCGCCCTTACTACTGTTAAATTTGCGGATACTTGAATAGTGAGGTAGGAACAGTGTCTTGCTTCTGTAATGGTTACTTCTATAAAATACAGAAGGCATAAAGCTAACAGTGCGGGCTGCTGTATTGTTCTCAGAAGCAAACAGGAAAGAGGAGATTACAGCAGGTTTCACTGAAGGGTAACAGTAGTGTAACAAAATGTAACATTTGGTTTAGCTTCCAGGAAAAAAGACAACAAAACTTTGGGTCCCAGATGAAGAAGTGTCTCCTGAAACTCTTGTTAAAGTAAGTAGCACTTACTATATTTTCCTATTACTTTATTTATAATACTTAATAAAGTTAAATATCTGGAATCCTAAAGCTGTCAACTGCTTTTCTCTGTTTCCTTGTCACCTTTCTAAAAGTAAAAAAGAAGCAACTATTTTAAAATTTAGAATCTTAGGAGAATACACATTTTTGTATTGCCCGAAGAAATAAATCTGCTTTTGGGAGCATCTACTTTTTTTACTTTTGTAAATAAATTTACATATATACTTTTACTGAATTTTTATTATAGCTTATTTATAGGCTTAGGTTCGGTGTTCAACACTTAAGTATTCCAGATATTATCACAGTTAAAGTAAAATTATTTTTTGCCCTCCTGTTTAACATAGGAGTTAAATACCATAGAGCCTTTGTTTGAAGTCTTCCCTTTTTCTTTTGAATTTTTAGGACATTCCAAGAAACTTTCAGTGCTGTTTCGGAATAAAGAAAAAATTGTTCTTGGATTTGTCAGTTTCAACAAATGAATAGATGTGTTACATTGCTTTTCTCTGTGTACAATGTGTATTAGAGAAAAACCTAGATTTAAAAAAAAAAATCATTTTAAAATGGTGGGGGATGTGTTGTTTTTCTTTTTACTTAAAAACATCATCTCAGGCTTGTTCTTTTTTTGGAGTAAGTTCATTATTACTATTTTTGGGCTTCGTAATAGATATTCTCACTCAATTTTTCACTCGGAAATAGACCTATACTGTGGAAAATACATCCTATGTCTGTATTTGTTTTTCAATGCCCTTTCTTCAGAACAGGGATAGATTATGCTTTCACACTTTCTTTCAGAATGAGAAAGATGCATGTACTTTGTAGCATGTTGTTTCTAAGTTAATTATAGCAGTCATTTAATTTCCAATGCCTTTTGAATAAAGTTGCTCAGATGGTTTGAGGAAGTTCTTTTCCTTCTCTCTTGAAGTTGTTAAACTCTTTATAGCATAATACCTCCTTCTCTGATGGTTTAGTAAGTACGTTGCTTTCCAGCTTGGTACAGAACTCATTACTGGAAATGCTTAGTTGTGTTTGGAATTGATTTGTTAGCTTTTTATTCATTTGACTTCAGGAAGGGTATTTTTTGTATTTTTGCAATGCCATAGTTATGCAGTACACTCCAAAAACTGTTAAAAGAATGCATGTTTGTTTTGATTTCATGAAATAGACATGCTTTCACTTTGGTGAATTATACATTTGTTTTTCTTAATTTTTTTAATGATTCTTGAACCTGTAATATATCTCTAAAATGTGTTTTGGTGTTGAAAAAACTTACCAATTGGCTTAAAGAAGATCTTAAGGGAACTTAGAGTTGAAGCCAAGCCTGAAAGCTGTAAGAAGGATTTATTGGCAAGTGAAAACAGGTTATTGTGAAAATTGATCTGCAAATTTAATTAGCATTTATTACCACTGAGAAGTCTATATTTAATGAACACGGCAGGCCACACCATTAGTTTACAAACAAATCTCTCTGACTATATTTTTCTTTACTCTGGTTATAAAAGCCTTTTATAAAAGGCTCCTTTTGTAACATAACTGTATAATGTATCTAATGGGGATCTTAAAATTGGCAAGTTTAAGTATGAAAGGGGGAAGGGCTGATGAAGACAAAATTATAGTAGCATCCAGCCTAACAGATGCAGACTCATATAGGCTAGGCTTAGTTTGGGATGCTGAACCTTAAATGAAATGATGTCTGTAGAGAAATGTTTCAGTGCAGTATTAAATATGAATTGGATTAATTATTGTTTGAGTTAGATTTGAATTCTGATGCCTGGCACTTGAGTGTGTGGTCTAAAGCAGTAATCTCCCTTGACAATTACCAGTACTGAATACTTCTGTGCACCGTGCAGTGGATTGAGACTTACATAGTAGCGGTGATATTTCTTGTTTCCTTCTGTGTACACTGCAATATCAGGTTTCTCATACTAGTACTCTAGCTGTGCTTTAAGTGGACATTGTTTCATTTTTCTCTACTGCACAAGCCTATATGTTCTGAGATATTCCTGCAGCATTTGTGGTTCTGAAAACTCAAGTAGTAGAACCCTGGGCTAGCTGTTGTCATGTTGATGCAGTAGGAAGACAGTGTTTCTAGGATCACTACATGGGATGGGAGCCCACTAGCTTTTACAATGGAGGCATCATGATAACCTCTACACCAGAGAAAAAGCCTGTAACTATCTGTTGATTTTTTAAAAATTGTTAATTTAAGCTTAAAAGTTAATGCTTATTCACTACTGACAGTTTATGTAAAGCTAGTAGTAAATTGCGGTTTTCTCATATGACAAATCAGAGACCTATTATGTTATATTCTCTATCTCAGAAAGAAATGATCACATTCTATCACTTTTGCTTGCACTTCAAATACACATAGTTCATGTCGTGCTGCTGAGTCTAGTACAAAACAGTCATTTGTGGCTTTTGATATTGTTCTGACCCATGTTGTATTTTGACTTTCTTGATATTTTCATGTTGTATATAATAATTTTTAATATTAGAGGCGAGTTCTAGGCTCATGGGACACAAACTGAAACAAGAGGTTCAGACTGGATATAAGGAAAAAAACTGAGAACAGTCAGGCAATGGAACAGGTTGCAAGAGGTTGCAGGTTGCCAAGAGAGGCTGTGCAATCTCCATTCTTGGAGGCTTTCCATACCACATTGGATAAAACTGAGACCAACGTGGTCTGACTTCACAGCTGACCTTCCTTTGAGCAGGAAATTGGACTGGACACCTCCTGTCATTCCTTCCAAATGGAATTATTCTTTGATAGTTACGCTGTTTAGCTGCAAAGAAAAAAATTAAAACATGAGGGCAGTGCAAACTCATGTCATGTTTGTTTAAGTCTTCAGGTAGCCAGAAGCAGTGACTGGGGGAATTCTCATGCCCTGTACTAATTTCATGGGAGTGCTTTGAAAGGTTGCTGGAGCGTCATCACAACAACATCATTAACACCAGCAAAGAAACAGGGGATACAGTGTGGTCAGAGGAAAATTCTGAAGGAGTTGGGATTAGGACTTGCTAAATGGAAGGAAGACTAGAGTAGATTTGGACAGTAAAATTGAAGGAAGGGAGTTGTAGAGGGGGAAGAGAAAAGCAAAGGTCAAAACTGAAATTGCTCACGAGCTGGTACAGGGGCAGAAGACAGCATGTGGCTGTTCCCTGGCTGAATACATCATTTACTTGATGACCAGATAGTATTAGCATGTTTCTGTCCTCCCAGCAAATTGGAGGCACTAATGGTACAGGTACCGGTTATGACATGAAGAAACTGAATTGGTAAGCTGTCAAAAGATCTGCTGCTGTTGTTGTTGTTGTTGTTATTATTATTAATTATTGCTATCTTCTGGAGGATACTTACAGCTCTTTCAGTGGAAGAGCCTTTGAAAGCTAGGGCAAGACAATTTCATTTCTGTTCCACAAACACTATTTGCATTTTGAGTTCTTGAGTGACAGACATCCTACCTCTTGCTGGTGTTACCCAATAGAATTAGAATTCTGTAGGTGGAGTAAATGGGCTACAGAGCTAAAAAACTCATTCATAGATGACAATCCTAGAAAACTTATATCTGAAGGGACCATTGTGATCAGTTTGTTACATGGAATAGCTCAGCTGTATGATGAACTTCATTTGGTGATATTGTGAATGTTTATATAAAAGCTATTAGAACTGCCTTTTCCATAAAGCAGAAATTTGAAGTTACCGTGTACAAAAAGTGCTGGCTTCCTTTCCACCATACCTTAGTTTTTCCAAAGCTTTTGGGCTTTCTCTTTTGAACTTCAGAGCTTGATGTTTTGGATTTTTTTGGAGGGTTTTTTTATTTGTTTTGTTTTTTTTCCCCCAGGATGTCTGTTTGATTCAGGTGAGCATTTTGATTTTGCTGTAAGAGGATAGTCCTCTTTCTGGGATTTTTTTTTTTTTTTTTTTTTTTTTTTTTTTTTTTTTTCTTTGAAAGGAAAATGAAAGGACAAAGGGATTCAAATACTAAACCAAACTTAATCTCCAAATTCATGCTTTATTTTCATTAAAGAAAAGTGAAATTATTTGGTGTTTCATGATAGCTGCTGGATTCTGCATACTTTTAGAAGCTTGCCTCAAAACACTTGATGTTTCCATTGGCAAAAGACAAGTTATCTTAAGTAACAGGCTTTGAGGCTTTTCTTTAAATAGCCATGAAAGAAGTATTCCTTTCCAGCATGAGTTATCTTAATACAGGTCAATACTCTGACAGTCAAAATGTCTATGAAGTGTTTTTTGCTTTACATGTTTTAAATAAATTTAAACTCAAATATTACATATATAAATAAAGAATATATAGAGATTGTTTAAGTACGGGAATTACAGGAAGATGAAAATGTGTCGTGCTTTTTGATCCAGTAATATTTTTCTTAATAATTGTAAATTGTTTTGCCTATTCCACAGTGTTTAATAGATGTAAGGTCAATTAAGATTATGTTTTCACAGAACAAAATATGTGATTGCTTAGTGGAAGAAACTGTTCAAACTTTAACTAAATGTTGTGTGATTTTTTTTTTTTAATTTGCTGTAATAAATGCTTGAGGCTTTCAGTGAAAAGTTGCTCTCTAGTGAGAGTACATTTAGTTATCTTTCGGTATTTAAATGATGTTTTGCAGCATTGACAGGCTTATATTTGTAGCAGTAAAAAGCACTTGGGAAAATACTGTGTGATTAAGATAAAGATTATTTAAAAAATGAGGCTCGTGGTGTGATTTGACTTCTGCATATCAAATTTTTTTCAGATTCAGGCCATCAAGATGATGGTTCGATGGTTGCTAGGAATGAAGAACAACCACAGCAAGTCAGGAACTTCTACTCTGAGGTTGCTAACAACAATACTACACAGTGATGGAGATTTAACAGAGCAGGGGAAAATTAGGTATGTAACAGATGGTAACATTTTGATGTCTGTGATGATGTGGTGGGGAGACTTAGTCAAAGTAGTACTTAAACTATACTGTTAGACTGCTTAACAATTTATACATCTTATTTTGTAAGAACATATAATGGTAAGCTTGGCTGGATTCCTTCATCAGTTTGCTGTCTCAGGGTTTTTAACACTGTAGATATAGCTGTATTTTAATGGTTTTATCTTCCTTGTTTTATCTTTTTCTTCAAAGAGCCATTACTCATATTGCAAGAATAAACTGTGTAACTTCCTCTTTCCCACTGAAAATTGGTTTTAATTTTTTATGCAGCTTGCTCTTCCTGATGTACCAATTGTTGTGTATGCCAAGGGCCGATAGGCAGGCTTTCTAATAAAAAATAATAGCATGTTGCAGTAATCCAGGTGGGAATAGCTAGTACATAAGACATTTCTGCTTGAAGGCAGACTTTAATCCCTTGAGGCCTCTAAAGGAAAAGGGAAATGTGTAAAAAGGATTAAGTCTCAATAAATAATTTACCATTTAGGTGATTGTTAGACAACTTATTTGTTTTTCTGGGTATCTTCTTAATCCTCTGCGGTAGGGGAGGTGACAAGTTGTCAGCTACTATTGCTTGTCAAACATTGAAGACGTCTGCAAAATCCATATGGGTGCATTGTGCCAGCAGGAGTAAAAAGGTTTTAATTTTGGGGTAGAGTTTAACGTTATACAGTGATTATGCAGATAGAACCTATGTTGTGTGTGCAAAATTGCAAACCTGAGAATTGTCTAGTATGTTATCTTTGTAGCAGCTGTGTAGTCTTCCTTGAAGTTCCTTGTAAATAATTGTTTCATGGTTTTAAATACTGTAATATGACCATTCATGGCAGATTCTAGGGAGTTAAGAGGCAGTAAGCTAGCTTTTCAGCATAACTGCTTGGAGCATATTTTTGACTTATCCAGTCATGTGTGAATAGATCAGTTCTGTAGGTCCTGTGTGTTTTCATGCTTGGAGTCATGATTCCTTACTGTGCATGTTTTAGAAATTTAATTTTCCCACTCTTTTTATACTCAAAAGTGTAAATAATAATAGAAACTATATATAATGATGTGGTCAGTTCTTCATTATTAAAGATAATGGAGGGGTGGCAATACTTTAGGGGAGGGAGAAAGTTGCAATGACATGTGACATTGCTCTGTGTTAAGGGCAACTCTTCAACCAGGGCTTGGAGCTCTGCCTGGGGGTAGATGATGAGCCAACTGAGAGCTTATGTGTTAGGATTAAAGAGCAGACTGGTATGGGTGACATTGTGGTGGGTGTCTGCTGTAGGCCCCCTGACCAGGAAGAGGGAGTGCATGAGGCCTTCTATAAACAACTAGAAACAACTTCATGTTTGCAGGCCTTGGCCTTCATGGGGGACTTCAACCACTCCGATAACTGCTGGAGGAGCAACACAGCAGCACATAAACAATTCAGGTGCTTCCTGGAAAGCATCAATGACAACTTCCCGACACAAGTGATAGAGGAGCCAATGAGGAGAGGTGCTCTGCTGGACCTCATGCTCACCACCAAGGGGGGACTTCTTGGGGGCGTGAAGGTTGAAGGCAGCCTTAGCTGTAATGACCACAAGATGGTGGAGCTCAGAATCCTGAGGGCAACAAGGAGGGAAAAAAGCAAGATCATTGTGCTGGACTTCAGGAGAACGGACTTGGGCCTCTTCAAGGATCTGCTTAGTAGAGTCCTATTGGATAGGGCCCTGGAGGGAAGAGGGGCCTAAGCAAACTAGCTGGTTGGTATTCAAGCATCATTTCCTCTAAGCTCAAGAGTGGTCAAAGCAGAAAGTCAGGCAAATATTTCAGCACACCTGCATGGATGAGCAAGGAGCTCCTGGCAAAGCTCAAACACAAAAGGAGGGATTGAGAGTAGCCCTGCCAAGAAGGACTTGGGAGTGCTGGTGGATGAAAACTGGACATGAGCTGGCAATGTGCGCTCGCAGCCCAGAAAGTCAACTGTATCCTGGGCTGCATCGAAAGAAATGTGGCTAGCAGGTCAAGGGAGGTGATTCTGCCCCTCTACTCTGCTCTGGTGAGACCCTACCTGCAGTACTGCATCCAGCTCTGGGGTCCCAATTACAAGACAGACATGGAGCTGTTGGAGTGGGTCCAGAGAAGGGCCACAAAAATTGTCAGAGGGATGGAACACCTCGCCTGTCAGGAAAGGCTGAGAAGGTTAGGGTTGTTCAGGCTGGAGAGGGGGAGGCAGGATCTGGGGAGATCTTATTGCATCCTTCCAATACTTAAAGGGGGCCTACAAGAAAGATGGGGACAGGCTTTTTTGTAGGGCCTTTTGCGATAGGACAAGGGATAATGGTTTTAAACTAAAAGAGGGTAGATTCAGACTAGATATAAGGAAGAAATTTTTTACCATGAGGGTGGTGAAACACTGGAACAGGTTGCCTAGGGAGGTGGTAGATTCCCCCATCCCTGGAAGAGTTTAAGGTCAGGTTGGACGGGGCTCTGAGCAACCTGATTGAGCTGAAGATGTCCCTGCTTATTGCAGGGTGGTTGGACTAGATGACCTTTAAACGTCCCTTCCAACCCAAACTATTCTATGATATTCTATGATTCTATGAGGTATACAGAAAGTGGAAGTAGGGACAGGTAACCTGGCAGGAATACAGAGAACATCGTCTGAGACACGGTTAGGCAAGCCAAAGCCCAACTGGAATTGAATCTAGTGAGGGATGACAAAGGCAACCAGAAGAGCTTCTTCTTTAAGTAAATAGATGACAAAAGAAAGACTAGGGAAAATATGCAGCCACTGCTGAATGTGGCAGGAGCCCAGGTGACACAGGACATGGAGAAGATTGAGATACTGAATTCCGCCTTCACGTCAGTCTTTACTAACAAGACTGGCCTTCAGGAATCCTAGGCCCTGGAAACCAGGGGAGAGTCTGGAACAAGGAAGACATACCCTTGGGGGAAGAAGATCCAGTTAGTTAGAAGATCCAACACTTAAGCGAACTGGATGTGCATAAGTCCATGGTCCTTGATGGGATGCATCTGTGAGTGTTGAGGGAGCTAGCAGATGTCATTGTGAGGCCACTCTTGATCCTCTTTGAATGATTGTGGTGATTGGTAGAGGTGCCTGAAGACTGGAGGAAAGCAAATGTCTCTCCTGTCTTCAAAAGGACAGGAAGGAGGACCCAGAGAAGTAACTATAGGCCAGTCAGCCTCACCTCAATCCCTGAGAAGGTGATGGAATGCATGGGCTCCCAAGTACAAGAGAGATGTGGAGCTACTGGAATGAGCCCACTGTAGGGCCACGAAAATGCTTGAAGGATTGGAGCATCTGATGGATGTGGAAGGGCTGAGAGAACTGGGAGTGTTCGGCCTAGGGAAGAAAAGGCTCGGTGAGGATCTCATCAATGTGTATAAATAACTGAATGGAGGGTTTAAAGAAGATGGAGTCAGGCTGCTCTTAGTGGTGCGCAATGACGGGACCAGAGGCAATGGGCATCAACTGAAATACAGGAACACAAGGAAACACTTTTTCACTGTGAGGGTGACTGAGCACTGGCATGGGTTGTCCACAGAGGTGGTGGAGTTTCCATCCTTGGAGATATTAAAAAGCCATCTGGACACTGTCCTAGGCAACCTGCTCTAGGTGACACTGCTTGAGCCAGAGGAGTTGGGCTAGATGACCTCCAGAGGTCCCTTCCAAGTAAAACTATTCTGTGATTCCCTGTATTGCATTTTGGGAAAGCTCTAAGCTGCAAGGAGGGCAGCTCTCCTTTTCTCTGTTTTCCCTATACTGCCTATGCTAACAAGTACTTTCAAAACCTGAAGCAGAGGAGATGATGTTTCAGACACATTAGTTCTGCATGGAGCTTGCTGGTATCTCACTGACACTTCCTGACCTTTATTCTTCACCCTTTGAGAATGCAAGGAGGTTATCTTCTTTCTGGTAGTGCTTACTGTGTCCCTACTGTGCAAATCTGACACTGCTCCTTCCAAATTAGAGTAGGCTTTGGAAAGAGTAAAATTGTCTGTTCAGTACAGAATATAATCTTTTAATCTGTACTTGACTGTACATAGAATGACATCAGATCAATTTTTGTGTTCGTGGTTTGCATTTGTCTTTTAAACAATGTATAATTTGCTAAAGATAATTGAATTAACTGAAAGTGGTAGGGTTCAGTAGACATTTGACCTCACGTAGGCAATTAGTCATGTTGTAATCATCTTGGTGTTATTGTCCTCATCAGCCATAAAAGTGACTCTATCCCCATGCCTCTTTAAATCTACAAACTGTACTTTTCAGTGACAGTGTAAGGGAATGGGATTTTTTTTAAATTTCAAAGCATAGTTCAGCCTAGAGTGTCAGTGAAGGCAAGGTCACTTTTGGAAAACAAATAAACAAATCCCTACTCTTGTTCATCCTTCTCACTTTGAAGTCGTAGGATTGATGGCTGTTGAATTGCTTTGAGATGTTAGCAGATGTAGGTTAAATTCACCAATGTCGGACTTTTTGTAATATTTAATTTTATCAATAAACAGTATCTCAACCATCCTTTCCATGTCTTTATTTTTCATTTTATAAGTCATAAACAGTCCTACAAATTTTAAAATCAAGATACTACTAATTTTCTATTTGTGATTAGGTAAAACGGCTAAGTTGAATCTTGCATGTCTTTGTAGTAGGATTTTAATTTTAATCTATACTAAGCATAAAACAAGAGCATTTCAGTATCAGAGGACACTAGCTGTTGCTGAAAGTATTGATATTAGATAAGAACCTGAATTGAGATTTTTCTGAAAGGCTATCTGCATTTTCCTTAAACTGAAGCTTAACAAGAGAAAAATTACTTAAAAACTTTGGGCTTAGAAGTTCATAGTTCTGTGCTACGGATAATTTGCTGCACTGTCTGATATGCAACATTTTCAGAGGTTGTATTCAAAAGACTTTTTATTCTGTGGAACATGGAAAATACTTAGAAAATTAGACACCGGCATTTATTCTCTGGAGGAGAATAAAAAATGTTAGCTTCTAGTTTGTAAAGTGACAGAAGATAATTATACACCAGGTATGTTTTCGAGATGCATTTATTTGGATTATCTTTGTGCAGCCCACCACCTTAATTAAGACTGTGTTTTGCACTTGATTACATCTTTCCATGTGGTTCCACTTTTGTTCTCATTTCAAACATCTGGTCTTCAGCAATAGTAATAGCACTCCAGAAAACAAATGTCCAGGTCCCTCTTGTATCTCTTGGAGAGCTTCTGATAGGACAAGGGCATCCTCAGTACTAATTTTCAAAAGTATTAGAAGTAATAAAAAACTGCCATTATATCATACAGAAGCTTT